ATGACCAGCAGTAAGGTGGACAGATAGTTTACAGGGGCGATGTGTGCATCATTGGAACATCTGAAAAACTGAATTAAGAACAGAATCATCATGGAAAAACTCTATCCATGTGGTGTCTGAGAGTTGATTACAACTTGATGGCACATCATCATGTTGTTCCCCTTCCCATACAAATGCCTGGCACTTCGATTGGAGGGAATGGCTGAGTTTTCTATCTGGTTGTGAGCTGATCTGAAGCTCTGTTGAAGGGTGGGGGAGTTTTTATAGGCTTCAGTACAGAAGCCCATGATGTCAAGCCTGGGAAAATCAGGAAATCCAGACAGTTCAAATGGGTATAAAGATTTATTGTCAGCTTAAGCTCTCTAGAAGAATCTGAACTACTAATGGCCAAGGGAAATTAGAGGGAGATAAGAATAGAAGGAATTCAAGGTGGACTCGACTTAGATCCCTTGTGGGCATGAAGGGATGCGTGACTGATAATGTATTTGACCCCTCCCTTAGCCTGGTCATCTCCTACACATATGATCCATTTTCTTTAATTTTCTCTCTGTCATCAGCTTATCTGCAGTCATCCTCCTTCAACAGGAAACCTTTAGCTCAGCAAGCACTGAGTTTGATGATCATTTTTTCTCTGGTGATGAGGTTTATCCTCAAGGAGGCTGGTGCTTTTCTTTTATCACAGACTGCTGCGTGCATAGTGAAGGATTTGTGGTTTCAGGCTCAGTAGCACATGTTCCCTTTTCTCACAGCTTTTCTAAAAGTTGCCTGTGTGCCAGGAATTGATTAGGGAAACATTCTGTGTTTTTCTCCCAATACAAGCATAGCTGCTGTCAGTGTTCTGCATATTTTTTAAAAATTATATTGTTAATTTTTATGATTCTTTGAGCAGTTTTTTCACAGTGAAAATTATAATATCTGCATAATTCTAGAGAAATCAAGGTTGGAGCCCTTCTTGAGGTGGGGTTATAGAAAGGAAACTAGCAAACAAAACAAAAATTGCCTGATTTTTGTGTAATTCAATATAGCTGCCCAGAATGATCTGATTACCAACAGTGTTGCAAGCAGTTGGGATGCAGCTGAACTATTCTTGCAGTGCTGTACACTGAAAGCATTTGCACCAAGACAAATTCCTTGTGTGTCCAATCACACTTGGCCAATAAAGAATTCTATTCTATTCTAACGATAGTGTACAATAGTGTACCACCCCATAGTGCATTACAGCGCTCTCTGGCTGATTTTACAATGTCAGCCTATTGCCCCCAACAATCTGGGTCCTCATTTTACCAACCTCAAAAGGATGGAAGGCTGAGTCAACCCTGAGCCTCATCAGGATCGAACTACAGGCTGTGGGCAGAGTTAGCCTGCAATACTGCACTCTACCCACTGCACCAGCTAATGGTAACAGAAAACGGCTGCCTCAAGGGCATCCAAGACATTCAGAGCAGGATTTACACCTGGCAGTATCAGGGCAGACATTGTCCCTTGGAGTGAAAGGGTCCTCCTTCCAGCTTTCTATTCAGCTTCTCCTCTCGTGGGGCTTAATGCTTTCCTCTGCAGTGAGGGAACAGTGGCTCCTACCTCTCCAAGGAAGAGCTGTTTGTTTGCATATGTGTGTTATGTGCTTGCATACATTTGTGTGTACCTGCTCTTCAGCACATATTTGGCTGCCTAACCTTGTGCACACTGAGTTACACGTGCACCTTTGGGTGTATAAGTGGGTGTATTGTTGTATTAGGGCTAGGCTAAATACATTCAGATTTCCTATCACTCTAGTTATAGGATGAGTCAAGCAAGGATTCATTACCATCTGGTGTTTCAGGATTGTTTCAGACATCCCTCAAACAATTATCCAGGAAATATCAGAGAATACCCAAATAGTTCTATTTTTTTCTGACAGGCACTCCTATATAGTGAATATTATTACAAGGATGCTTGTTTTATTGCTATTTCAAATCATTCCTAACTATGGAATTATATGTGTGTGTGTGGATTGGAAGCAGCCAAGGACAAAGCTGAAGCTTGAATCATTTCAGTAAAGATATAAAAACACGGCAAAGCAACAAGTGAAATTACTTTCATTTTTGGAAACATTATTAAAAGAAAAATAAATGCTCAATTTCTCTTATAGGATATATGCTTTAAATAGCGTGAAAAAGTGATTCTAAAAATGTATTTAATCAGATCTTCTGTCATGTAATTAATGGAAGATTCATTAGAGCCATTTTTACTGATTAGAACATTGTTCACTTGATCAGTAATCTTGAATTTGAGAAACATGCTTTATGCGGTCTTTTACATAACTCAGAGCTGTCTTGAAATATAGGATATAGAAAAGGATGCCATGCAATGAATCACTATTTTCTATTTTAATTTAATATATATACTGAGATTTTCCATTTCCACATATTTACAGCCTCACACAAAGATTCCTTAGTCTCTAAATTAACTCTACCCATATTGTTATGAGCACTTGAAAGTACTTCCTTTAACTCTTTCTTATAGCCTGGCTCAACACCGACATCTTCTTTATACTGTTTGTTATATCTGTGTTCCAACCTGCATTTTATATGCTACTAAAACTCTGATTCTTGTAACCTTTAACTGGGTGAAACAGTGCACCATAAGGTTTTTTTTTCAAACAAGATACCTCATGTGGACTAACTTACAGGATGCATCTAAAATCCAGGACCGCACGATTTCCATGTAATTGGAATTGGGTAAATTTTATAAAACATTTTATGACATAGACATTATCATAATTCAATTTAAGACATAATACCAAATGTCAGAAAGCATTTCTTAGGTTCATGTTTGACTCTTCATTGTGGCATACAGTTCAACAAGGGCTACTTTCAAGACTGATACTTCTCTAAATGTATCACAGCTTTTCCAATGAAGGCAGTCTATTTGAAGTTCTGCCATTGTTGAAGGCATTGGGGAATCTGGTAAGGAAATATCTCAGAAACAATAACCCAAGGGTTATCTAATAGTGTATATGTTCCTGTGCCACAAATGTTCATAACAAACCACAATGTCATCAAAATGACAGCACAAGCCTCATTGAGCAAATAAAATGATTATGTAATTGTATCACAACCTCTGATGCAGAAAGAAGTCATTTAGGTGATTGGCAGGATGATGGATATTGGCATTGAGCTTGGCCATTCCCATGTTCCTAGGTGCATTTATAACATACACACTACAACCACCGTTATCAATTGGAACATTCTATAAAGAAATCATTGCAGATTGAAGAAAAAGTAGAATTGTGAGTATAAGCTAATGTGTCATTATGGGCAGTCATGTGATCAAGAGCACATATGATAAGGGAAGGAGTCTGCTCTTGCAATATACTTCATCATTGCATGCTAATTGAATATCAACAACTTCCCCTCTGGATCTGCGTTGACTTGAGTGTTTGTTACTGAGTTCTTTGTATCTAGTCTTGCCTATAATAGTAATCTCTTTCAAAGTAAACCTTGAGAACAAAGATATACAGTATGTGTGTATTCTATCTACCTATCTATATCATCTATTCATATCTATATCATCTACCATTTATCTGTCATTTCATTTATCTGTCTGTCTGTCTATATCATCTATCATCTACCTGTCTATATCATCTTTTATTTATTTTTTATTTTTATTTATTTATTTTTGTCAATTGCTTACAAGATAATAGGTATAAGTAAAAACATAGTTATGAATACATGGACACATATAAGAAAAATAAAAAAATGAAACAATAGGACAGGGACGGTAGGCATGTTGGCACGCTTATGCACGCCCCCTACAGACCTCTTAGGAAAGGGGTGAGGTCAATAGTAGACAGTCTAAGGTTAAAGTTTTTGGGATTTGGGGAAGAAACCACAGAGTCAGGTAGAGTATTCCAGACATTGACCACTCTGTTGCTGAAGTCGTATTTCCTGCAATCAAGTTTGGTGCGATTGTATCCATTGTTTGCTCTTGTGTTATTATGGTTGAAGCTGAAGTATTCATTGACAGGTAGGACATTGCAATATATTATTTTACATACTATACTTAGATCGGACCGAAGGTGGTGTAGTTCTAGGTTTTCTAGATCTAGAATTTCGAGTTTGGTGGCATAAGGTATTCTGCAACGAGTAGAGGAATGGAGAACTCTTCTTGTGAAATATTTCTGGACTTTTTCAATTGTGTTAATATCAGATATGTAATGTGGGTTCCAGACTGATGAGCTGTATTCGAGTATTGGTCTAGCAAATGTTTTGTATGTCTATCATCTATCTATCCCTTAGTGATACTTATTAAGTGCTTATAGCAGTGTAAAATCATTTAACTTCTATATTATCTGTTTTGAGTTAATTGAATTCCTTTTATTTTACTCATAACTATTAAAAAATGAGGAAATCATTGCAATTGTCAAGACTGTCCTTTGAAAGGAACAAGTTTCTGGTTTTAGACCTCTTCATTTTTAGAATGCAAAGTTTTTCCCCCACTCCCTCTTGAGATCTGATATCATTTAGCAGAAATGCTTAATTTCACTTTCTAAACAATAGCACCACCTAGGCAGCCATGACCAACAGTTGATTTTGCACAATATTTAATCGGTCACACCCTTGTTTAAAAGAAGTCCCAGTGCAATCTCATCCATATGATAAAATTTCAGAATTCCCCCCCCCCCTTATTCCCCTTATCATTAGTCAGAACAGCCTTTTCCAATTTCGTGACCTCAAGATGTGTTGTGTTATAATTCCCCAATATTCCTTCCTCTCTGGAAATGATAAGACTGCTTGGAAAGCACCTCTGAAAATACCCCAAATAGGCAGGCATATATCAAAGCATTACAACTATTTTATTTAGTCTGCACTGCTTTGCACAGAAAAGTTTTATAAACATACATGATGGTGAATAAGGAGGAGGAAGGAGTATGGTGTATGTTCACTGTGAGTTATTTATAATAAACGTGGAGTAAAAATCAACTATTTTTTTCTTTTTTTTGCCTTTTATTGCAGAAAGTGAGTGAAAAAGTTGGTGGAGCAGAAGGAACTAAGCTAGATGAAGACTTCAAAGAAATGGAAAGGGTGAGTCTGGAAGTTAATTGCTCTTGTATAACTTCCTGCAGCATTCCTCGAGTGGTTTTTTATATATTTTGTCAAAGAACATATCATTTGGATGTTACGTTTTCCTAGGTTGCTTATCTATAGCTAGACAACATAATTAGCATAACTGCTACTCTAGATCAGATTAGCTTTCTCATCTAGAGTGAAGTTTTATCAATTTCTTATTGTGTTGGGGCTTCATCCTCAATTCCCACGCTGTTGCATCTTAGAAGTTACAGTCCCACTGCATTAGGCAGGAGAAGGTTGGTTTAAAAGTTCAAGAGATGATTGGGAAAGGGCATCCAGATTTGCCAGCAGTTGCCCATACTTCTTTCTGTGTGACCCCTACTTTAAATAAAATGGTGGGTTGTCAAGTGATTCTTGCACTGATAGGAGGAAATTATTAGGTACGTCATGTTCTAATAAACTGTGCCAAACTTCAGGAGGAGAGACAAAGCAACGATTCAAGGAATACTTCCTCCAAGAAGGAAATTGCAAGGCCAGGTGCATAGCAAATTGTAAGATGGAAGAATCTTTTTACCATCCTCCTTGAAAAATATACCTTATTCTAATAAAAGGTTTTATTGTTCTTAGCCACCATAAGTCCATTCTCCTACCTTGCAATGAAGACTTGGGAAACAACAATCCAAGAATGTTCAACAAACAATAGGCTGGCCAGATTTGGAAGCGGGGGGGAGAAACAGGACATTTTTGCTTTGAATAGTTCTATTCAAAAATGACAGTGAGCAGACAATATTCAGATTTGGAAGTTATGCCAGGAAATCTAGCGAATTCTTCAAAATCCATCTACAAAACCTGTGTGTATAGAGGTGAACAAAAAAAAAATGAAAGCTATGGCTGCAGAACCAATGTAGATGTGGCATGGCACATTTTTAAAAATGGAGGGCTTTCACTAGGAGCAAAGCCCTCAATTGATCATAAGTATGAGCCTTCTCCCAGCTGCCTTTTGCACTTTTAATAAATACTTATGAAATGGAAATATGTATTTAAATCACAATTGTTTGGACACGGTTTTATAGCATGATGTTCTAAAGCTTTATGGACGGAACTTGCTGTTGGTATCTTTTTAATTTCCTCCCGATATTTTATAGCTGTGGTTGGAATCTCTTAAACTAAAATGCTTCTTCCATTTTAAATAGAAGATTATAGGGTCCATCTCCATTTTGCCTTTTGTTCTTACTCGGTCTTCATACAATCAATAACACTGAGAAGTACAATGTTTCCCCAAAAATAAGAACCTGTCTTAATAGTTTTTTCCCACCAAAAAAAGGCACCAGGTCTTATTTTCGGGGGATGTTATCCACTGACTAACCTAATTTGCACGTGTCGCTCCTGGCCTCCTTTTCACTGTCAAAGGCCTTCAGAAACTTCTTCGGTGACCGGCAAAGCTTTCCTGAAGGCCTGTGCAGCTGATAACAGAGCTTTGTTATCAGCTACAGAGGCCTTCAGGAAAGCCTTGCCAGCCTTCCCGGCTGCAGAAGAAATGGGCCGGCAAGGCAGGTGTCGGGGTGTGCGAGGCCTGGCTACAACTGTCCACAGGTAAGTAGTAGGGCACCTCCACACACACCCATCCCCACCCTAGCTTAATTTTTACCCATCCACTCTAGAGTGTGTGGAACCTTATTTTGGGGGTAGGGCTTTTATTGGGCACAGGTGTAAAAATCAAGCTAGGTCTTACTTTCGGGGTAGGTCGTATTTTCGGGAAAACAGTATAACTGAAGGGATATATGTTCACAGCCTCCTTATGCAAGTGGGTGATTCTTGGCTTAATCTAACTTACAGAATGGCTGCAAGGATTTAGCAGATGCGATCGTTTTTGTCTTTGAAAAAGGTGGGAATGTATGTGTGTGTATGCACATACATATACTTGCTCCTAATAAATAAATTAATTGGTGGTTTCATATAAAGAGATACAGTAAATTAATTAATGAGACATTATCCCATTTCATTAAAGATAATTCTTGCCCAAATCTAGCCAAAAAAGCCACAGCAGAATCCACCCTTTGAAGCTGCCCTTATTCATGCTCTTCCTGCTTCTGATTTTATGGTCAAGGCCTTTTCCATTTTATGCTGGTGCTTGCAGACCTCAATTAGGCCAGCGCTTGTCAATGCTAAGCATTGTAATGACATGTAATAAACTTTAATTATTCCCAGGCTCCCAAAGAGCTTCTTGTCATCTGGCAACAAGCAGGTGGGTGAACAAATAAAAGGTGGGCGTGTAGCTGAAATTAATAATGTGAGAGAATATCTGTGAGTGTGCAGCAGTGCAGCTGCACATGAAAAGAAGCGGCTAGAGATGTCATTAATGGGGATAGCCAAGCAAGAGCATTAGGGCTGTTTTCAGATCTCTGTTCAAACTGTCAGCAGGTCACCCTCCCCCCTCCTCCCCCATACCTCAGTTCTGGATGTCTGGGGAAATCAATCTGAAATATTAACGGAGTAGATGCATTTTTAATAGAGGAATGGGCTTCAAAGGGTAGAAAACGAGCAAGATTTCAAGACGTTGGTGGTTAGGATGGCACTGTCAGCCTGCAGCATGGCTTCTGAGAAGGGGAAGGGAGGGGAAAGGAGATGATTCCTTTGGCTTGCTCCATAAGATGGAGAAGTTCTAGCCTGTTCTGTGTTGCAAAATCTAATAGAAGCCTTAGCAGATGGGAGAGGGGAGGGGAGAAGAAGGCAGACGTCCCTCATTTTCTTTGCTAGTAACTCAGAATAATGATGTCCCAAATGTCCTATTACTCTGAAAGGAAGGTATCTCTTAATTTAAACCAAGCCCCCACAAAAATCAAAACAGCAGAATGCATATAGCTATAGACACACACATGCACGTACATGTGCATGTGTGAACACACACACACACACACACACACACAGAGAGAGAGAGAGAGAGAGAGAGAGAGAGAGAGAGAGATTAAATTTAAGTGTGATGCCTACCTCTTGATTTTGTCAGCCCGACATTGCCAACTCCAGCTGAAAAAAGTCCTAAAGATTAGGGTGGTAGATTTGTTTGCTCTCACCCTTATTATTTATTAAAAAAAAATAACTTAAGGCAGTAACTTATTTAATACTCCTTTCTCCTTCTATCTTCCCCACAATAACCACCCTGTGAGTTGGGTTGGGCTGAGAGGACTGATCCAAAGTCATCCAGATGACTTTCATGCTTAAGGTAGGACTTGAACTCCCAGCCTCCTGGGTTCTAGCCTGGTGTCTTAACCACTTGACCAAAGAGGCTCAGATTCTACTTATCAATTTCAAAAGTTTCAACTTCAATTGAAGTTGGCAATGCCGGGTGGTGGTGGACATTGTATAGGGTTTTTAACTTTATGTGGGTTTGTGTGTATGTACGTATGTATGTATGTATAGGGATGGGGTCGCTCAGTGGCTAAGATGCTGAGCTTGTCAATCAGAAAGGTCAGCAGTTCAATGGTTCAAATGGAGTGAGCTCCCATTCCTTGTCCCAGCTTCTGCCAACCTAGCAGTTCAAAAGCATGTAAAAATGCACGTAGAAAAATAGGGATCACTTTGGTGGGAAGGTAACAGCGTTCCGTACACCTTCGGTATTTTGTCATGCTGGCCACATGACCACGGAGATGTCTTCGGACAGCGCTAGCTCTTCGGCTTTGTAACGGAGATGAGCACCGCCCCCTACAGCCGGAAACGACTAGCACGGATGTGCGAGAGGAATCTTTACCTTTACCTTTTATATATGTATGCAGATTTTATTTTGATTATTGTGGTTAATTAATTTTTAACATTCTGAGTTGCTTAAAAATTGAATCAGTAACATAAATAAGCAAGAAAATTGTGCCTTTTGCCCAAAAGAGGGCCAAGAATTAAAAAAAGCAATAATCAACTGAAACGATCAAAAATCATTGCCCATAAACTAAAGTAGCCCCTTATAAAACCAATTGGTCTTCCATCTGCATCCAATGAGTCTTTCTCAGCTATACACATACGGATCATGGTCCTTCCTTTCATGGTAAAAGCAGAAAAGCAAGAGTGGGGGAAGTGGGATGAAGGCCTTAGAACGAGGGCAGTGATCATGCAATAGGGAAAGAAGAGAACCAAATCGGAAGGAAGGAAGGAAGGAAGGAAGGAAGGAAGGAAGGAAGGAAGGAAGGAAGGAAGGAAGGAAGGAAGGATACTCCCTGCCAGCTTCACACAAAGAAACTCAAGGGCGGAAGCTGGCAGGAAGTTGCTCCCACTCTCATTGCTTTTTTGTCCATCTGTTTCTGTTTTGCGGTAAAGAAGTATCTCTGAAACAATGACACAATAGGGCGCCCCAAGGAGCACTGCTCCATAATACAGAGCTATGGAAGAAGAAATAACAAGGGTGTTGGATTTAATGTTTCCATTCTTATTTAGGGATTCTTCCCTTCCCTTTCATTTTGTAATTGCAGAAAGTGGATGTCACCAGTAGGGCCGTGATGGAAATAATGACAAAGACAATCGAATATCTTCAACCCAATCCAGGTATGTCTAGTTCAAGTTGAATCAGAGGTTTGAATTTATAGGTCATTGCAGACAGGTCACAAAGAATAAGTTACAAAGATCTCGGCTCACTTCACACACACAAACACACACCCCAACACACACACAGATATGCAGAATGCAGTCTTGACAGGTTTGACCTGGTCTCTTCTGCATGAGTTTTCTAAATTCTTATTTGCCATTTTTGTCTGTCTCATAACAAAATACTTGACAAAGAAAAGTCATGATTTCACTTGAAGGATGATAACTGTAACTGTATTTAAACAATTTTCTCTTAAGAATGAGATTGCAGAAAGCAAGGGCACAGTTTAACTCCTCTCACAGCAAGGACACAGTTTTTCCCCTCACATTTATCATAAATGCAGTATTTTGGATACTTTTCAAGTTTAAACAATTATGACCATATTGGACACACACAGGAAGTTGTCTTACTCTTGTGTTTTACCTTTGTTTTGCCGCAAAGCTTTTCCCACTGTTGAATTGCAGTGCTATCCACCCATCCTTGAATCAACAGAAAATAAAACCAATGGAAAATTTGTTTTCTTCATGGCTAATTCCAATTCCCTCTCTGTTGCTTCTGTTCCCAGTCACTACCATCATCAATTGCAGTCCATTAAATAAATTTTATATACCTTGAGATTCTCCTAGGATATTGTGTGAAAAGGAAAAAAAAATTACTTTAACTAGAAGAACTAAGGACAACTTAAGTTTGTCTTATTCATGGTCTAGGGATGTAGGGAAGGCAATACCATAGCAATATGACCAAAAAATAACAACCTGTTGTCAGAGTATGTTTATGCTGCCATTACCTGCAAGAGGGTCATGGCCTCAATAATATTGATATCTAAGTAATGTTTAAGATCAGCCTGGACAAAATAGAAGTCACATTCTGAATGAAAAATGCATGAAGGCAAAATTAGTGGAGAAAAAGTTGGATCAGGAGACTTTAATACCTTGTGAAGTAATAAAACTTTGGAGTCCATCAAATGCATTACACAGAAGAACATCTGAATCAGTCTCATTTCTTTCTGAAGACCTTTATCCTGAAACATAAGTTGCTGATAGTTGATACAGTCATATTGCATTTGTTTCAGTGATGGCTAGTAAAGATGCGTGCTTCCTGGTTCTACAAGCAAGGTGACGTAGACGCATTGTTCTTTCCTTAATTTCTTCTGTCTGGAAAAAAAAAGAAATATTTTTCACTTAGGTTTCTCTAAGTGTATCAATATTTTGACGACTACAATCATGACCACGTATGGTGTCCTGGTTGTGATGTCCCAGGAGGCTTGCCCCAACAATTTCCAAATATGAGGATCAACTGATAAATTTTATATGCTAACCCCACACTCACGTAGCAGGTGGCCAAATTTATTCACCAAGTTATACAATTGTGCAAAACTTTTAATTAGACATGGCATTTTATTATACTGTTGTTGTTTTTTTCTTTTCTCAATAGCAAATTGCTGTATCAAACTATCTGTCTTTTTTACTGGAAAGACCATAAGAAAGAATCATAGAATCTGGAAAGGTCTTCTAGTCCCACCTCCTGCCCATGACAGGAGATTTCGTTCCATCCTGAACAAATGGCTGTCTAATCTTTTCTTCAAAAACCTCCAGCAATGGAGGTTCCACAACTTCAGGGCAAGTTGTTCCACTGATTAATTGTTCTCACTGTCAGGAAAAGTTTCCTTACTTCCATGTTGGATCTTATATGATTTGACGATTATAATCAACATTCTCTCGAATCTAGACTGTTCTTACGCGAGAAGGCACTTACCATGCAAAAGTAACCCAGCAGCCAAGAATTCCCACTTTTCTCCTGGAAATTCCCTACTCCACACATTGTCCTACTCCACAATTCAACAAGGAATTGTGAGAACTGCTGCAAGGAGGAGAGGTGTAAATAAACTCTTCCTTTATAATCAGAATTCTCTTCACTGACGTTGTTCATTTTCAACCCTCAAATCCCATTTTAACAGCAAACTGATGATTAAAAGTATAGTTTAAACATCTATAAAGGATACCAGAAAGGTGATTAGAAGACAAACCATACATGCCTGGCAACAGCTCTTCATATTCTCATGATGTTGGAGTTAAAATATGGAAGCTTCTGCACGGTTTAGCATTTAGCATTAGCACTGGATATTAATGTGAAGCAGAATTTCATTGATTAGTCTCATTGATTTAGCATTAAGGTCTCCAAGTTTATCACCGTCTTTTTATTCTATGATAAGGAAAGAGATTCAGCTCATTCTGTTTCCCTGGTAGACATACCCATGAGATGAGTTTTGAAATTCAACAGTATCCCTGATGGGAAAAACGAAATACTGTAAAACAACCAGGAATAGTTATGAAGCTTCCATAGCTATTCTGGACATGGGCGGGAGGGAGGAGAGACAGTGGTAGCACCATAGTTGTTCCCATCAACCTTTTTTCCAATGAATGCTCTTAAGTTACCACCATTATAAAAAAGCTGATCCATTTCTGGGTCTGAAGAGTGCCGTCATGCCTACCTAGAAGGAAACTAAATTCCCCCATGGCTTAAGAATGTTTTCTGAGATCTTTCTTTTATGTGAGTTTTTGTGTCATTTATAGACATGATTCAGTTTCCCATCTGCCTGGTTTATTGTCTCTGCTGATTAGTTCCCTCTCCGCTTGTAGCCTCCAGAGCCAAACTCAGCATGCTCAACACCATGTCTAAAATTAGAGGCCAAGAAAAAGGACCCGGGTATCCTCAGGCTGAAGCCCTGCTTGCAGATGCCATGCTAAAATTTGGGAGAGAACTTGGAGACGAGTGCAATTTTGGTAACGTTGGCTTTGTTGTGTTTCTGCTTTTAAAAGTAATAAAACTTTGATTGGATTTTGCCAATATCAGGTTGCAGATACCAGAAACCTTACTGGAGTATTCATTTTCTTGCTTTGATATGCCAGAAGTTTCTCTTGTTTGCAGTCCAGTGCATTGGGATTAAAGCTCCAATCATACACACAGTACTCAATTCAAAGGGCAGTGATTATACTGTATTTGCTTTTCGTTTAGATTCCTCGGTTGGCCTTGTCCAGTAGCTTTTGGGAAATGTAAAGTTCAGTTTTTTAATTAAGTCTTTACAAAAAGCATGTGCAGAATTTGTCAACTAAGAATGGAATGTTCTGGAACACTCAGGAATATTCTATTTGCTTTCAGACCATGCTAAATCTCCTCCTCCCCACTTTCTGTCTTGGGCACAGTTCATCAGTTTTAAAAGTAAATTTTCTAAACCAGAAGCTGTTCATGGTGTTCCAGACATGATATTCTAGGTGAAACAGACCAATCCATTCAGTTCACTGATCAGCCAACTTTTAGCACATCTCTAATTCACTACTGATGTCTTGGATAATCATTTGGAGCAAATGTAAGCTCTGAATATGAGGCAAGCAATACTTTATTGGGGGGGACATTATCCTATTTATTATTGGAGAGCAATATTATGTGGTCTGATGATATCACTGAGGACAGGGACGAATTTTCCAGGCAGATTTTTTGTTTTTGTTTGGAGATGGGGGAAAAATATTCTTGGATCAATTTAAATTAAAATAAAAGCATTTCTGGGTTGTTGTTGTTTTCTTTTTAGGCCCAGCTTTAGGTGATGTTGGAGAAGCTATGAGGGAGCTGTCTGAGGTGAAGGATGCTTTGGATATTAATGTGAAGCAGAATTTCATTGATCCGTTGCAAAATCTTCATGACAAAGATCTGAGGGAAATACAGGTATTGCCACAAATAGGATTTTGTTATAGAATTAGCTGGACATTACAACAGGAGCAGATCTATTGTGATAGCAGAGATGGTATGGTTTCTGAACTGGCAGGTCCCAAAACCAAGAGCCTCAGTCTTGCCAGGGTTTAGTTGAATTCTGTTGTTCCCCATCTAGGCCCTCATAGCCTCCAGGCACTGGGAAAAGGCATCAGCATTGCTTAATTTGCCAGGAACAGAAAAGTATTAGATATCATCAACATAGTGATGATATCTCACGCCATAATGACAGATGAGCTCACCCAGCAGCTTCATGTAGATGTTAAAGAGGAGTGGAAAGAGCATCAAAACGTACAACTTCCTGTCCAGAATGATTTCTTAAATGATTACTTCTACTCCATTAAAAAATGAAATCAAAATGCATGCCTAGCAATAAAGCTGAAAATTGCAACAACGGAAACTGTTATTATATTTATTGTACTGTTTATTTTTAAAAAAAACTTTAAAAAGTAGGGACTTATACTTTCCATTAAAAAAATCTTAAAATAAAAATATTAGCATGGGATACTTCTGAGGGAATATGTCAGTCAAATTATTATTATTATTATTATTATTATTATTATTATTATTATTATTATTATTATTATTATTATTATTATTATTATTATATACTATTGTTGGTGAAATCATGAACATTTTTGTTTTTGTAATTCAGTAAAAAAATAAGTTTCTGACCTTGAATATTAAGGATTTAGTTTGTTATTCATTTGAACAGCACTTTAACTTAGTCTATTTTCCTTTATCTGGAGAGAGTTCCTCCCATCTTATGAGTTAGGCTTTATTTAAGTCACTCAACAAATTTGTTTGCGTCTTACCTTAACTTAAAGTACTATTTTCTACATGTCCATTTTTTAAAATTATAAACGCTCAGCCATTTTCACTTGTTCAGAGCTTGTCTTTGAAAAGATTAAGTTTGCTCTTGCTTGGAAATAAATAGCACCATTCTTAATTATCATTATTACCAATCTTAGTTAAACTCGGTGTAATAAAAGTATCAACCTGGGGCAATGGTGGGATTCAGCCATTTCACACCAGTTCAGATGGTTGTTAACTTACAGCCACCACCACCACCACCTGGCTATCAAAGTGAATCCTGGGCACTGAGCTGCAGTGGAGAAATGGGCCGCAGAGCGGCTGGTGCAAAGGAAGGAGAATGCCACTTTCCCTCCTTTTTTTTTTGCCTTGCTCTTTCTCCTTCCCTCAGACTTGGCCGCTCCATTGCCCATTTCTCCCTTGCAGCACAGCATCCAGGATCCACGTTGATAGCTGGGGGGCGGGGGTAATTTAACAACTGGTTTGCCGAGGGTCAGGTTGGCCGGTGCGGGAGGCTCGTCCTGCATGTGCGGCAGAACTGGAGGATGGTGATGGGCCATGTCACCCATGACAGCCAACCTGACCCTGGGCGAACCAGTTGTTAAATTATTTCGATCCCACTACTGACCTGGGGTAGTATGTTCAGAGTATTGCAACGTAAATTCAAGCACCAGAAAAGTAAACAGAGATGGCTGAGGCTTCATTTAACTTCTTTATAACACATAAAGTAAATTTTACAAAACCAGCTGCAGATTTCTCCAACATGGAGCAAACTCGAACAGAAGCAGACATGTTACAGGTTCAGAGCAGAACAGCAACTCAGGAGCTCAGAAACAGTTTCACTTTAGTTCAGCAGGCAAGCAAGACACACAGCAGAGGAAAGAAGCAGTTTCATTGTCAATAGGCAGACTCAGAGCTTAATATAGAGCCACGCCTAGGCTACTTCTAGTTTCAGTTTCCAAACAGTCCTCATTGGCTGACTTAGCTGCTATGCCTATTAATGAACAGCCTGACCTTGTTACCATGCTCTATTCCAGTTCATGAATATACTCTGACATAGTAGTAGTTAAAGGCACTGGGAGAGTATGAATTCTAGTCCTTGTTAAATCTGATTTGACTCCATAGTTGCCTGTACCTGCTTTTTCTCCCAGTGTTGCCAAACAGTGACAGAGTAGGTAGGTGAATTCCTAAGGAGGGAGGCTATGGAATACAAGTAAACCATCTGTTGCCTGAGAGACATTATCTGTTGTGGCCCCCAAGCAGCCAGCAAAGCAGCAGATTCGGACAGTGAGGAGGTTGAGGAGGAACATGGGCCAGTCCTGGAGTCTTGGGAAGGCTCTGATGAGTGCTCTGTGTCAGAGGCAGAGATGGGGCCACAGCTGTCTGATAGTTATCAGCTGCCTTTGGAGTTGAACATCAGCAGAAGGATAGCTGGAGCCTGTTGCCAGTGTGTGCATGCACAGAGCTGCCAGAAGAAGGGAACAGTTTAGGAACAAGGATCGACTTGGGAGTAAAGCTACAGGTGGACGATGAATGGCCCCCTCATAGGGAATAAAAGAGGAGCGAAAGAGGAGTGGGGTTTTTCAGGAGACAATTAGTTCATTTGGGTGAAGATCTGTTCCTGCATTCTTGCCAAGTATTGTCTGCTACAATGTGGCCTCTGAAAGATATCAGCCTGGCAAATTCTTCAAGTCTGATAAAGGTCTGTAATTGTGAAATATCTTGAAAGACTGTTGGTCGGGACTTTGCTGGAGAGGAATTCACTGTAAACTAAATAAATGGGGTTTATCGGGACGAGGAGTCAGATTCGTGCTGTTGGGGAAGCCTAGGTTAGAACATTATCTAACAAGGTCAAGTGATGAAGAATGTTTTGACCGAAGCAGACAGCTTTTCCCAAAGCAAAAGAACTGAACTCAGTTGTTGAACTATGGGCGGCCCAGAGAAGAAAAGGGAAGTTACCTAGGTGGGTTTTTGTGGGAAAAAAATCCCAAAATTGACTTTGCTTCTGCCGTACCTAGAGGGACTTTTGAATAAAGCTACACGTTTGGTTAATCTAAAGAGCCTTTTGTTGAATGAGCCAAATGGGATAATTGACATTCCTGCCTTATGCACAAGGACAGCTGAAGTAAACTTGGTATAGTCACTGTTTCTCAGGCCTAGGATGAAGACACAGTGATCAACTACTTCAGAAGAGTCATGGGTTGATTTGAAGGGGTTAAAAAAAAGAGGATTGATAAAGCCGTGGTTCTTTTTTCCACTCTTTTTCAGCACCATCTTAAAAAAATGGAGGGCAGACGCCTAGACTTTGATTACAAGAAGAAAAGACAAGGCAAAGTCCCAGATGAGGAGGTCCGCCAAGCTCTAGAGAAGTTCGATGAATCAAAAGAGATTGCTGAATCCAGCATGTTTAATCTGCTGGAGATGGATGTGAGCAAATCTTTCCCTATCATTTTTTTAAAAAAATTTGGACTGTTTTTTAAAAAATTATTAATAGCAATTCAAAACTTGGTTAAAGAACATATTTCTCTGGTCTTGTTTCCCTAGACTCTGTTCCATAAGTGTGTAGATCTGGCTTTCAAAGGCAAAATATTACATTGGTGTTTCTCAACCGTGGCAGCTTTAAGACGTGTGGATTTCAACTCCCAGCTTTGCTGGCTGGGGAATTCTGGGAGTTGAAGTCCACACGTCTTAAAGCTGCCAGAGTTGAAAAACCCTGCATTACTTAATAAGTGAAATGTGGCTTTCCTAATAGAAAAGCGTTTTGCGTTTTGGAATTCCAGAGGCAAGGATTGCAAACATGTTTTTTTTTAAGTGAAATTGGCACTCTCAGTAAATTCTTCTACTTGCTATCAATTTTCATGTGAATGACATTTTGGAGGAAGACTTGGACACCCGTTTGGACTCAACCAGAAGCCCCACAGATCACAGCATAAATATGAATTATTTGAATAGTCTTGATATTCCACAGTGACTTGGTTCCAAGTCTAAAAATACCCATGGTGAAAAATAACGGTGACATGCCTCAAAAATTCTTCAAGACGGATAAATTGTCATATTGCTCTACCCCCTTCAGTTTCGTGTGCGCAAATAAGTCAGGGTTGAAATAAATTGAATTATATATATAATATCTGAACATGCTGGAACCAAATTCAATTAATTATACAGCAGGTTCACAGTATTTCTTGTTCTCCACTGAAACCGGATATATAGGATTCAATCAAGCTAACAAATTCCAGTCTGGTCAGACTAAATCCACACCAATATGAAGTTTCACATGTTTTCTGGAAAAAGAATGACAACGATCCCCATGAGACACTTCCAGTTTTGTCTCCACTGAAACCCAGAACGATGAAAATGCTCTGGGCTTTGCTTCAGCCAGACCATAATTCTACACTTTACTAGCGTGGAAAAGAAATCCTTTTTTCAGGTCATCCTCGACTTACAACTAAGGTTGGGACCTGAATTTCCATTGCTAAGAAAGCTGGTTGTTAAATGAGTCGGGCCCGAAATTTTTTGCCATGGTTGTTAAGTGAACCACTGCAGTTGTTAAAGAAAATCTGGCTTCCCTCCTTGACTTTGCATGTTGGAAGCTGGCTGGGAAGGTCACGGATGACGATCACATGACCCTGGGAGGCTGTAACTGTTGTAAGGACATGCCGGTTGCCAAGCACCAGAATTTTGATCACCTGACCCATGGGGATGCTGCTACAGTCACAAGTGTGAGGACTGGTTGTAATTCAGGGCCGTTGTAATTTCACGAATAATCACTCAGTGACTCTAAAGCAGAGTTGTCCAATTCTGGCAACTTTTAAAACCTGTAGATTTCAACTTCATGAATTCATGCTGATTGGGGAATTCTGGGTGTTGAAGTCCTCAAGTCTTAGTTGCCAAAGTTGGACTTCCCAGATCTAAAGACTTCTTTATCAGCTGGTTTGGAGAACTATTCCGGGGGAGGATTTCCAACATGCCAAGCATATAATGCCTCTGAATTGGTAAGCTAAATTGAATAGGTCATCCATCAAGACAGTTTTCTTTGTTAATACTGGTGACTTTGATTAAATGTATGAATTGTTTTTATTTGCATGTGAACAGCAATAGTCTTGCATAGTCAGGCTTCTTTAAAAACAACAACAACTAGACTTGCCACAGTGTATGCATGAATATCAAGACTCTTTTATAAATAAGGCATAATTAATCTGCATTAAGTGTTTTTGTATATGCACACTTGCTTATGAAGATAAGTGGCTTGTTGGTTAAAGCGAAGTTCACCCTATATCATACTTTAGACACTACTTTTTAGGTAGCCCTCCAGAAAATTCCTAGTAATAAGTATCTGAACATTAGCTATCCTTTTTAATAATCCTAGTGAAAAAGATTTCTCTCTCTCTCTCCCTCCCTTCCTCCCTTTCTCTCCCTCCCCACCCTCCCTCCCTCCCTCCCTCCCTCTCTCTCTCCCTCCCTTCCTCCCTTTCTCTCCCTCCCCCCTCTCTCTCCCCTTTTCCTCCCTCCCTCTCTCTCCCTCCCCACCCTCTCTCTTTCTCTCCCTCCCTCTCTCTCTCCCTCCCTCTTCTCCCT